CTTTTAGGGTATTTATAAGTCTACTTGCAACCTACTTACTAAGTCCCCCGACCCTCCAAGTAGCAGCTTACGTCAGGCCTCCGGCTGGCGGGAGATGCCGTCAATGCAACGTCCGCTGGCGATGCCCTGAGGAAGGGTTTAGGGGTTCCTTTAAGGGATCCACAAGGGTTGCTATATAGCGGTACTATGGGGCTTTAGGGGTGTAGGGTTTTAGGGTTTAGGGTTTAGGAGTTCAGAGTTTAGGGCTTAGAGTCTAGAGGTTTAGGGGTTTAGAGTTTAGAGCTTTAGGGCTTTGAGGTTTAGGGAAGTAGGAAGTGGGAGAGGAACCCTAAATGGGGATTAGGTTTGGAGTCGAGACTTTAGGCTTTACCGGGGTTAGGGTTCAGGGTTTAGGTTTTTTTTAAGGGTGCAATGGGACTTTCACTCTGCCGAGGGTTTAGGTTTAGGGGTTTAGGGGTTTAGGGTTTAGGGGTTTAGGGTTTAGGGGTTGGGTTTAGGGGTTTAGGGTTTAGGGTCCATCTAGAAACTACAGCGCCGCCGAATTCCGGTGTCCTTCTTACGTGGATCCTGCGGTATATTGGATTTAAATTGGGGATGTTTGGGTTTCGGCAGCTTCAGTTTCGGTTCTTCCAATTACCCAACCCATGTACCACCCAACCAACATATCCTGGATTGTGATGCCTTATCTGGCTAACTTCTCTACCTTAACCTACCAAAACCTACCAACACAAGTAGGGCCCCTATAAATTCCACATCAGGGTTTATAATAAGAACCTACAAAACAGTCGGGTTGGGAGGGTAAGGCACACCTAAGGAGATCAGAGGTCTCGGCACATCCTGAACCCCCGCACTGTTGGGGAAAGAATCGCAACATCGAAACTATACCCCCGTTAGAACCATAATGAAACCCAATAGCTTTAATATTCTCTTGGGTTTATATGAACACAAAATAAAAGATAATTCCGAAGGAGACTATAGAAAACTCCAGTCGATCATGGTGGCATCTATGCTGCGGCGTTTGTGCAGACCCATTGCTCGGAGCATGAATAAAACCAAAGTAACAGCAACTCATACTGGTAGTTGCCTATATTGTCTTACATAGCTTGCAGAACTTGTAGCCCAGCTTATCCAGCGGATAATTGTAATAAGGGACCCCCAAAACCCTGGTCGAGATGATTATGGCCCATACAGACATCAAAACCCTGAAGGAGCCTATTATACTCCTACTGATGGATACCTTTATATAACTTACACACCTTACAGAACCCGTAGCCCAGCTTATCCCAACGGAGAGCCTGGCCGACACCCGAACCCTAGAGATTCCTTATAGATCCCTTAAAGGAACTTCAAGGATCCCCTGTAAGGCCCCTATATGATGTGAGCCTGGCCGACGCCCGAACCGATGGCAGCGAGGCCAATGGCGAAGCCAGCGCCGATGGCGGAGAGTGCAGGGATCCAGACTGCGCCATCCTGCGCAGCTGAAACTGAAGGGAGACCAGTGGGCTCCTTTTCTAAACAGGTATATATAGGGGTTACTGTAAGGGATAATATAAAGGTATTATAGTCTGAGGGCCAAAATAATTAGAAGAGGGCTTGTAATTATGGGGGTGTATCTTGAGGATTTTGGGCACCGGCTTCAGATCATGGTCGTCATGGTCAGCGCCATGGACGATGGAAGGAAAGAAGCAAGACTAGTTGAACTGCCTCGGCATAGGCTGCCCCAGGGGCCATCAGCGTCACGGCGCCTCAGGTTTCGGCGGCTGATGATCGTGGAGTCTGCGGTTTTGTCGTAGGCATTAGGGCCATGAGGGTCGGTTTCCCAGCCGGAGTTGTCTTCAAAACACATCCACAAAAAAGCATCGGAAAATGACGCTTCAACACCCAGACCTCAATGCCCAGGCTCCTGACCCGTGTAGCAAACCCAAAACTCTGGACTAACCTCACACTGACAAGTCCATTCCCCAAAACTCCGAACCCTAAACCCTACCAAGGTATCTTCTCGGCCGTGCTACTCAAGGCCGCAGTGGTGGCATGGGGGGCCAGGGGGGCCGGGGCAGCTCGCGGCGCAGCGACGAAGGCAGTGAAGAGAGCACCTGATATGGGGATCGATAGGATTCCTTTAAGGGCCCAAGCGGGCGACCAACCTGAATAGCTCTCAATTGATCTTTTATCTCATCTTGGGCTATCGGCTTAGGATTTTCGGCCAGTTTAGGGTCTTGTTTAGGGTTTACAGTTTAGGGTTTCGGCCAGTTTAGGGTCTTTGTTTCAGGGTTTAGGCTTTAGGGTTTTCAACCAGGTTAGGGTCCAGGGTTCACCACGAAGCCTTTCGAATTCCGATGTTCGATCCCAGGATTTGAGTTGAACCTACATCCATGAGGGATTCTCGAGGCTCCATGTTTTATCCTTAGTTTAGGGCGAGGGCTTCGAGTGCCTAGCTGAGGCCGTATGTTGGGCGTGCGGCTGTTTAGGGGTGTAGGTTTGGGTCTTACTTTGGATTCAAAGGTACACCAGCAAGGAAGCATTTCGGGTGATCCAAAAGCGGGGCTCTAATTTAGGGAGCCACCCACAACCCCAAACCCTCAACCCAAAACCGCAAGCATCTAAACCGGCGAAACCAAGAACTCTCAGGAACAGGCCTCAATATGGTTTCAATAGGGAATCCTTCAACAGGCCCTTTTAAAGGGATGTTAAAGCTAGGATGCCCAGCAACTTAGGAATAAAAAGGGCTCCTTTTTGGAATTGGGTAACTTTCTAGGGAACCTAGGACTACAAGAAAGGGAATAAGGGTACTACTGGGCATCCTATAAAGGGACCAGACAAGCCATGCCATCGCTCAGCCACCAATTGCGCAGAGACATGTCCTTCACCATGATCGTCCGCCGCAGTTGTGCGTGCTCACTCACCCCAGCCCTACCCTCACCCACCCTAAGCCCTCAACATTACGCCCCAAAATCTCACCAACTCTCAGACAGAAGCCCTCAAACAATGTCTCTTTAAAAACACAAACCAACACAAAAAACATACAAATCTTTTGACCGCCCAGGACCCGGGCCACTGCACAGGAGAACAGCGCCGGTGAAGATGAGGGAGCGGGCCATCCTGGGATGACTTGAGGGTTTAGGAGCCGTAAAGGATGGGGCCTTAAAGGGCTTGTGCACAGAAAAGCGCCCTTACATGAAACCTTGTCATGAGAAATGGGTGAGTGGAAGGGCCCATGTAACAACGATCATGTTATTCAGGGGGGGCTTAGGGGTGAGGGGTCCCTCTTGTGGGTCCTTGCAGCGAGGTATGTAAGAGACCACAAAGTAGCTAGGCAGAAGGAAACAACCTGTGGCATAGGGATCTTCAGGCCGTGACCTTCAGGCTTTGTTACAAGTCTGGGTTGAGGGTTGTCGGCTCCGTGTTACGGATGTAGGGCTTCGGGTTCAGAGCTTAGGGCTTGGTTGGGTCTCAAGTCAGTGGATGAGGATTTGGGGGGGCTCTCCCATGTGCCAGGTAAGGCAGTTTTGCATCATTCAGAATTGAATCAAGCAGTCGAGCCTTCCTCTCTTGGAGGGTCGGGGGACTTAGTAACTGGTTATTTTAGGGACTTATACGTACCATAACCCCAATTAGGGTCCCTTTTAGGGTACTTATAAGTCTACTTGCTACCTACTTACTAAGTCCCCCGACCCTCCAAGCAACCGACCTTTGGGCTTTCGGGATTCAAGGTTCCAAGTACAGTGAAAATACTGTATAAGAACCCACTGTTTAAGAACCTGGCAAAATCACATGTAATGGAAATTAAGAACCTTAGGGTAGGCTACTCTCGCCGAACGGGGTTCTTATACAGGGTTTTCACTGTATACAGATCCTGCAAGTTGCTCGGAGGTCCCTCAAGGATAACACTGACTAGCAGTGAGAGTCGCCATATTCGTGGAAGTGAATGTTTAATGGACCCTGCCAACACACCCCTAATGTAGAGGCCTTGATCATCAATGAACATACGGGCTCGGGTTTGGTATTCTAGGCTTTTAAACACGAACCCCAGAAAATACTATTGAAGTCATTTACGCACCTATAATACTTGCAGTCAACACCCCTAGGCCCTAGGCTCTAAGCGCGCAATCCAAATCCGAAGTGTTATCACCCTAACATGGCTTCTACACAAATGTTTACTCTCCAGCACTAAAATAGTGGCTGATATGGGGCCTCTGTTGATCCCCTAAACAATAAGGAATACACGAAAATACAGAACCCAAGAAGGCCGATAAATTTGATTAACCCCCATCTGATCTTTCAGTCTCGGTGGGGCGATGCACCGACAGTTGGACGGGCAAGACCCTGACATTGCAGCCATGCGTCTTGAGATGCTTCGGGGAAAAGGTGCAGGACACTGGAGCGATGCGGCGGGAAAAAACTGAAGCTCGGACCGACGTTTACGGTGTGGGATTTCAGGGTTTAGGGTTTACTCAACCGATCATGCAGACTGTCCCGAAGCGAGACAATTGGCGACTATATGGATGCCAAAACTTAAGAAAGGTTCCGAGTGCCATGAACGCGCGCTTCCAAACGATAAACTTCAAGTGGCGCGCACTCAAAACTCAGGCTCCTCAAGCCTGCGCCAGGTGCCGCCCGTACCACACCCTTAACCATTTAAACCTCACCCCACCCGTGAACCCGAAAACTCAAGAACCGCCTCAATGCTGAAGAATTTCCTAGTGGAACCCGCGAGAGAACCCTTAACGGAACCTGGGCTAAAAGTACCGAACGTTCCTTTGAGCTCGAGCTCTCCTGTCATCTTCCTTCTCGGGCTAGACTTTTTCAACAAAAGCTGGGTGAGCAGGGGTTCAGAATGTGCGGTATTAGGTTCAGGGTTAAGGTTGATGATGCTCAGGGCTTACTCCAGGGCATAGAAGTCGGTGTTGTCGTCGATTAACTCAGAGATAGATCTGCTGAAAACTCTCTGCTCGACCCTGGGAAACTTTGGGAGAACTTGCTCCAGATCACCGACATCCTGCTCACTTGATCAGCGGGTTCGCGAAGAGCAGCACCTGAGACCCAGGAGGTTAAATCAGGTGCAGACGCCTGATTCTTGGTGAACTGTAACGTTAAAAGGTCTGTGCTTTGCAAGCACGGACAATCCTTGTAGTCGTAACCCTACGCCCTAAACCACTGAGGGCAGCGCGAGCCAGATCTAAAATAGGCGGACAACCACAGCACCCCCGCAGTCTCTGCCTCCGAGGTTGCTCCTCCGGAATGCCTAAACCCAAAACCCCCTAAAACCTTAACCCTATGAACCCTGAATGACTAAACCCTAAACCCCTAAACCCCCTAAAGCCTTATGAACCCTAAATGACTAAGTAAATCCTAAACCGCTAAACCCCCTAAAGCCTAAGCCCCCTTAAACCCTAAGCAAACCCTAGAAACCCTAAACTCGGGCCCTAAACCCTAAACTCCAGGCCCGTCCGAGAATGCGAAGCCCACATACTGCGCCTCTGCTTCGAGACTCCAATATCCCTTAATAAAGGAATGTACCTAGGGTTCCTTTAAGGATCTATAGGGTTTGAGGGAGTCTAATATCCCTGAAGAAAGGAATATACCTTAAATTATAGTAGGATCCCCTATATGATTTAAGGCATATTCCTTAATTAGGGGATATTGCAGTCTCTGGGTGCTTCTGTCTGCTTAGGCGGCCACCAAGGCAATCACAAGACCGTAGATGGTCAAGGACTCCATGAAGGCCAGCGACAGCAGCCTGTGTAGACTTTCACATCTACGTTTGAGGGCCAGGACGGTTAGGATATTACGGGTAGAGGATCTCATGTGACCGAAAACTGCGACCCTTAGATCATCACTTCGACACCGAGACAAAGCCAGTCTAACTAGGGTTCAGGGTTTTGCGTTTAGGGGTTTAGGGTTTAATGATTAGGGTGTGGGCTCTATAGGGCTTAGGGTTTTCGGTTGAGGGCCCGAGGTATAATGGGCTATATAATGTGTATATAATAGCTATATTAAGGGTATATACCTGGGGGTCCTTATTGAGGGTCCCTCCTTTTAACCCTAAATCCTAAACCCAAACCCTACCAGTTTTGGCTCCACGCAACTGTGCAGAGGGCCCTGGCACTAGGATTCCTACAACTTCGATTTTGTGAGGCATTTTGTGAAGCATTCAACCTATAGTCTCCTTGTAGTTCCTTTTTTGGTTTAGCCAGTTTTATGCTAAGGATCCAAAAAGGTAACCCCAAAGGGAACTACAATGGAGACTATAGGAAGTACCAAACCTCAAAACCAATGCCCCGAACCCCTTGCTCACATGATATCGTCCCACCCATCAGATGCCCGTCCTCTCCGAGATTCTGACCCGCAAGCACGCACTGAAATATGCGCATGTTCAACCCTACAGTTGATTCTTTGCATCTATGATTGAGAGTCGCATCAGGGACTTAGCAAACTTAGGTTCATAAGTTCTACATGAGGCTACTGTACTTGACTTACATATCACACAAGTTGGGCACCTCTACATCCATCTAAACCTACGATGAAACCTTACAATATAAGGTAAGGGAATTGCAACTGCCAGAACAAAGAAGGTCTGGGACGGAGACGACAGAGGCCACTGAACTCGGTATTCAGGGTTTCAGGATCAATCGCAAAGCGTTTCTCCAGTGTATAAGGGTTTCTATAGACCCTGCACTAAACTCACTAAAACCGACATAAAACGCCGACATGGGAACTACTGTGGATATTTTGCATTTGAAACAGAGCCTAGGGCTCAGCTGTGTGGGGCTGCACCTAGAGAGCCCAATATGTACCCCTCAATTGAGGCATATACCTTAAGTTATAGGGGCCCTGAGATTATGACTTTAGGTATATTCCTTAGTTAAGAGGTCTTGGGCTCTCCGGGTAGGTATGGTTTATCGACAGGCTCCGTTCTTCTCAGGGTACTCGATTTAGGGTTTTCGGTTCAGGGTGTAGGGCGAAGTTGCTAGGCTTTGATAATAACACTAGCAGCACCAGTAACAAGCAACAATAGCAATAGTACTAGTAAGGCTTAACGGCTCAGGGTGTAGACTCGGGAAAGCATGCCGAACGTGTGAAATGCAGTCAGGATTCAGCACGCCACGGAGGTCATCGGCGACCTTCTGCCAGTTCCGAATCCCTTTCTCTTAGGGATTGGGTTGGGATGTGGAGATCAAGGAGAAGGGGATCGGATGCGCGTCTGAAGGGCTTGTAAGGTTCTCCAACGCACCATCTACAGTATGATCCGGCAGGCCTATATAACATAGCAGCAGAAACAGTAACGGCAGCAGCGACAGCAGCAGCAACAGAAACAGCAACGGCTTCAGCTACATCGATACCAACACAAACCCAAAACCAGTAGCAGCAGCACTACTAGGAACAAGCAGGCAAGCAGGCGAGCAAACAAACGCACACACAGTGACAAACAACAAAACAGTCAAACAGCAACAGCAAGGACAAACACATGTAACGTCACCATCATCCTTACAAACGGAACCTCCACCTGACAGAGTAAGTTCACACTGCATGCCAATGAGGAATAAACCCTGCATATCCCGAATGCACGATCGCCGCCTAGAGTCCATATCTAGACAGGTATAATGACATAAAGGAGACCCTGTTCTACATACTCAGGCCCCAACTTTATAGAAGCCCTTATACGAACCTTCGTACTTTATTTATAGAGCCCTTAAAGGAACCTCGTCCAGTTCCAATTCGTGTTTGTTTTGCTGGTGGTAGGTCGCGCCCCTTGTCTACGCCTAAAGCACTAAGAAGCCAACCCTAATGCCCTAAGAAACCAACCCCAAACCCAAAGACCCAAAAAGCTCTCAGGCCTCAGGCTGACGGGAGATGCCATCGATGCAGCGGCCGCTGGCAATGCCCTCCGAGCACGAGATTTCGGGGCTGTGGGAGGTAGGGCTTGAAAGAACCCAAGAAAACCATCCCGTGAAACCCAAAACACCCTACCGTTAACCCACAAACCCTGAAGAAAAAACTCTAAAACCCTAAACCCCAGAAAAACCCTTGCATTTTAGTGGGATACACTGCAAAAGGTAGGCCATTTGGGATTTAAGGTAGGACGATCTGACCAAGTTCTGAGCTTCGTTGCTTGGAGGGTCGGGGGACTTAGCAACTGGTTATTTTAGGGACTTATAAGTACCATAACCCCAATCAGGGTCCCTTTTAGGGTACGTATAAGTCTACTTACTACCTACTTACTAAGTCCCCCGACCCTCCAAGTGTTGACATACTTGTAGAGTTGAAAGTTTTGTGCTCCAGGTTGACAGCTTGACTGGAAACGAGCCCATCCCGTATGATCGTGGTAGGACTGTTGCTGTCGCTACTACTCCGTGTTATGACCTTGTCAGCATAGGATGCCGAAACACTGAACCCCCCAGGCGTGAATCCTAGAATTTCGCCTGCTGTGTGTAAACCCCCGGCCGGGAGAAGACCTGAGCTATGGAGTTGCTCAACATCACTCCTGTCCTAAACCCTAAACCCTAGAGATTCCTTATAGATCCCTTAAAGGAACCCTTAAGGATCCCTTGTAAGGCCCCTATGTTATGTGAGCCTGGCCCACGCCGGAGCCGATGGCAGCGAGGCCGATGGCGAAGCCCGCGCCGATGGCGGAGAGCGCAGGGATCCACACGGCGCCATCCTTTCAAAAGGGGTTTGGGGATTTAAGGTTCCTTTAAATGTTCCTATAAGGACTCATCCGTTGAAATGGGTATTCAAAGGGGCTTTTGGGGTTTAGGGTTCCTTTGAGGGTTCCTTTCAAAAAGGGTTTGGGGATTTAGGGACCAAGCCCCTGAACACCCGAGAGTCTCATAGGCTCCCACCCGACCTAATGTAGGAACCTGACCCTGGGCCTATAACCCCGAACAATAAAGTAGGATTCATAAAAGGAGCCCCAATAAAGCCCCAAGGTTTCTTAGTCAGGTTCCCACACTATTATAAATTATAGTACCCTTGTAGATCCCTTCTAGTAGCCCTTATAGACCGCTTTAAAGGAACCCGAACAGAAGGGCCCAAGGTTTCTTAGTCAGGTTCCCACATTAAACCCAACACCGTCAACCCTGTAGCGCAAGTCCGGAGCCCTAAACCCGGAACTCCAAACAGGTCATATGGGGGGGGTTCCGAAAATAGGGGATCCTAATCGGATCCTTACTATAAGGACCCCCAAAATACAGTACCCCTAATTTTCGGAAACTTCCAGAAAGGATCCTAAATCATGAACAATGCTACTCCTTTATACCCCTTACTCTAAGTATACTCTCATCAACATCCGGGACCTATTTTGATTCGTAAGGCAACTTACTCTAACTATGCTCTCATGAAGCCCCGGGACCTATTCTAATTAGTTAGGCCCCTATACAACCCTTATAGTAGCCCTTATAGTAACTAGTAACCGATATAAAGCCCCTAAAGTAAGACGGTTCTGATCTCTTCGTAGGTGGCCTCGGCGTGGGCTGCCTGAGGGGCCACCAGCGTCACGGCGCCTCGGGGAAACTTTGCATTCGGTGCTTTAAGAACTTGAGGGCTTAAGGGGTTTTCGTTTTTAGGGGTTGAGGGCTTAGGGGTTTAGGGTTCAGGGTTTAGGGTCTAGAGTTTACGGTTTAGTGTCTAGGGTTTAATGTTTATGGTTTGGGGTTTAAGGTTTAGGGCCAAGGTCTCCGGTATGCTTGCCAAGGCTGTTGATGCGGGTCTGGATTCTGTACCAGTCGAGGGCGTTGCTTGAGGGCCACCTCCGCAGCTGCACAAAACTCACGGAACAGCAAATGAACCGAAGCCCCTAAACCCTAAACACTTAATGCATTGGCCTTACCAATTAGACTAGGGTTTTGGGGCCCATGGTACTGTAAGTATAACAAGGAACCCCCCAGGATAGTATAGGTCATTCTTAAGGCCCCTATAGTAAACCTTAAACACACAGAAGAAGGGCATGGATGTTCTGCGAGAGACCCCTAAGGCCCTGAACCGGAAAGCCCTACGAAAACCCAAGCTATTTGGAGGTTCATCTGGGCTTTTAAGTAACCAGGGAGAAAAAAGTATAAACTTTTATTTCATAATGGTTCCACTAAGAAAAAAAGTATTAAAGTATGGTACTCCAAAGCCCAGTCATGGGTAGTTACAAGTAGGGTTATAATCCGGGTAACTATACTTATAACCCATATTTGGGGGACTTATAACCCTACTTATAACTACATCTCCAAGCTAGATCCTGAACCATTGAGGATGCCGTGTCCGTGATGCAGCCTTAACTAGTCCATAGACTTCTGGCTTTGGGGGATACATGGGATTTTCCGAAAATTAGAGGTACCTTATATTGGGGTCCTTATAATTAGGAACCTACTATCTGGGGTATTATTGTAAGGCCCCCCATTTGCCGGAAACTCCCACATAAAGATTAACATACGAATATCGGGCTATAGTAAAAGCCAGAAAGTTGGAATATGATTATCCTAAACCCTTTATGGTAAATTATAGGGTATCCTACCCTGAAACCATATTCCAACTTTCGGGAGTTCCCTTTATAGGGGATGCTATCACGAGTCTTTCAGACCTCTACGCACGCTCCTGGTTTGGGCATCAAGGCATTAAACGGCATCAATTTCTCAGCTTTTCAAGATGTTGCTAGAATTCAAAGCTTTAAACCAGATATTTCCAAAAATCAGCACCACCCCCTTGCAAAAATAAACCTCTAGACTCTAGCCCAAAATCCCTGGCCTGTAAGAGATTGAAGGAAACCATGACAAAGGAACCTTGAGTAAGTAGGGTACCCCTGATTATATATAATTAGCCCATATTAGGGGACTTACAAGCCAACTTATAACTACCCATGAACCTCCAAGAATAAACCTTAAAATCTAATTTCTACCGCTGTCGGGCAGCTCAGCGCAGCGGTGGTGGCGTGCGTAGCGGCGGGAGCTGGGGCTGCACGGGGGGCGGCCACGAAGGCAGTGAAGAGAGCACCTTTGGGTCTAGGTTTAGGGCTTAGGTTTTTTTGATGAACCCTCCTTTCCGTCCGCCCAAACGATGTCCGGAATGCCGACCTTGACTGAGAGGACAATCCGGGAGGCTTACGACGGGGATTCCCAACACCACATCAGCTTACCCCATACTGGCAGTTTCCCAGCCTCCCGAACTGTGCAATATACCGCCTGGAGATCCTCACCACTACGGCCACAAGCCGACAAATATAGGGCTTAGGGTTTAGGGCTTCAACTTAAGGTTGGAGCTAACATGCCCAAGACGTGACATAGATGTACGGATCTATAGGAGGCCAAAGAAGATATGAATGCTTGTTTGGGGGTGTCTAACTATAGCTATTGTATACCACACTCCAAGACCTTACGCTAATTATAGTAAGGCCCCGTAGTACCGACTGAATGCCAGGGTTCCAGACTTTACTTACTGTATAACTCCCCGAAGCCTTGCTCTAACTGTTAAGGCCCCTATACTAAAGCCTCATAGTGACACTTATAGCAAACCCTTATAAGAACCCTTAAGGGTAACCCCCATGGCACAGCCGTATAGTAATCCCTTGTTGTAAACCCTTATAGCAACCCTTATAGCCCTATAGTAAACCCTTACATTGATCCCTTTTCGCAAACACTATAGTAAAATAGTGATTCCTTCTAGTAACCCTAAACCTAAACCCTAAACCTTTATACCTTAACCTCTAAAACCTCAAAACCCCTAAACCCAAACCCTAAACCCGAAATTCGTTGTTAGGGCCTCATAGCAAGCCCTTATAAAGCACCATAGTAACCCTCATAGTAAGCCTTTTAAAGCACCATAGTAACCCTCATAGTAAGCCTTTTAAAGCACCATAGTAACCCTCATAGTAAGCCTTTTTAAAAACATAATAAGCCTTTTAAAGCACCATAGTAACCCTCATAGTAAGCCTTGTAAAGCAACCATGTTAACCCTCATAGTAAGCCTTTTAAAGCACCATAGTAACCCTCATAGTAAGCCAGTAAGCCTTTTTCAAGCACCATAGTAACCCTCATAGTAAGCCTTGTAAAGCAACCATGTTAACCCTCATAGTAAGCCTTTTAAAGCACCATAGTAACCCTCATAGTAAGCCAGTAAGCCTTTTTCAAGCACCATAGTAACCCTCATAGTAAGCCTTGTAAAGCAACCATGTTAACCCTCATAGTAAGCCTTTTAAAGCACCATAGTAACCCTCATAGTAAGCCTTTTAAAGCACCATAGCAACCCTCATAGTAAGCCTTTTAAAGCACCATAGCAACCCTCATAGTAAGCCTTTTAAAGCACCAGTAACCCTCATAGTAAGCCTTGTAAAGCAACCATGTTAACCCTCATAGTAAGCCTTTTAAAGCACCATAGTAACCCTCATAGTAAGCCTCTTAAAGCACCATAGTAACCCTCATAGTAAGCCTTTTAAAGCACCATAGTAACCCTCATAGTAAGCCTTTTAAAGCAACATAGCAACCCTCATAGTAAGCCTTTTGAAGCACCATAGTAACCCTCATAGTAGGCCTTTTATAGCGCCGCTGAAACCCTGCAACCGAGGCCGGCACCGCTGCAGAGGAGGACGGCGCTGGTGAGAACGAGGAAGCGGGCCATCCTGAAGTTGCCCAGAAACTTTGATTTTTGTTTAGGGGTTTAGGGATTAGGTTTTAGGGGTTTAGGGTATATAGGGTTTGGGGGTTTAGGGTTTAGGGTTTAGGGGTTTAGGGATTAGGGTTTAGGGGTTTAGGGGTTTAGGGATTAGGGGTTTAGGGGATTAGGGTTTAGGGGTTTAGGGATTAGGGTTTAGGGGTTTAGGGATTAGGGTTTAGGGGTTTAGGGGTTTAGGGGATTAGGGTTTAGGGGTTTAGGGATTAGGGCTTAGGGTCATTTTTTATTTAGGGCTTGGGGTTTAAGGTCCAGGGTTTCAGGTTTAGGTTTTCTCAGTATGATATACACTGCTTTACACAATTACCTTAGCTGATTCTATCGGCGGGGCTTCGAGGGTACGACAGTTCACCCCACCATATAGCACGAGCCAGTGCGTGAATTTCTCGGGCAGCAAATACTATGACTGGCAGAAGCGGTGTCAGCGGTCGCTGCTTCCCATAGCTTTGATGGCAATTGCAATGCACCCGACACCCCCAAAAAACTCAACCTCAAAACACTCAATCCTTCACCTAAACCCCAAGCCCTCAACCCTTAGATTGAACCTTAAACCTAAACCCAACCCCTAAAGCCCTGAACCGTCAACCCAAACAGCTCCAACAAAGGGGCCTTAACAATTAGAGTACGGGTTTTGGGTGTACGATACTTTAATCGAAATGCGGAGCCCTGAGAAATGATAGTAGTAATTATCCAGGCTTCCATTTGAGGAGACACTGCGGGGTCCGCTAGCTGGGAATTCGGCTTGCGTTCGTCAGTTGTGGCCACGACTTGAACCTTAAGGTCTAGGGTTTAGGGTTTATAGGGCTTCAGCTTAAAGATGTAGGGTTTAGGGGTTTAGGGGTTTAGGGGTTTAGGGTTTCGGGTTGCGGAGTTGGGACATTTTTGCGAGGCTTAAGCTTCGGCGGTTTGCTGGGGATCGGGGTTTCAGGTTTGGGGAAGGCCTTACCGCAGTCCCTTTATGAGAGTTTCTGAAAATGGGGGACCCTATGATAGTACCCTAAATAGTAAGATCGTTTTTGTAAAGGTATCCCTAATTTTCGGAAAATCATAAGTGAATACTTAAAGGCCAAAGTATATGACTATGAGCGCATGGACCCTTGGGGAAAGTAGGGATTGATTACAAGTATCGCCGGAATTACACCCCTAGTATACGCCCACTGATATGAACTCCGTAATCTGTGGGCTCCCTCATAGTCATCGTTAGAATCTCGAAACTCCCAAAATCGAAAACAACAGCCCGCTCTGATGCCCTGGATGCTGCAACATTGAAAAGGACTTCCTACTTGTCGGGTATCATGGGGAACTAAAGGTTAACCTTTTTGGTTATATAGGGATTATATGGGGGCTATACTACCCAAAAAGGTTAAAGGTTACCTACTCTACTACTAGGACTTAGAGTACTTGGAGGTTCAGTGGTAAATATAAGTGGGGTTATGAGTCCCCTAAAATAGGTTTCAAGTACAGCTGCCCTACTTATAAGCCCACTTATACCCATGAACCTCCAAGTAGTGAAGCTCTTAGGGTGTAGGACTTGGGCGTGGCCCGGATTCTTGGGATTCAGAAACCAGGGCACGTGATGTGGACCCTAAACAGTAGGATGTTTTCATATATACATCTACATCTACATCTACATCTACATCTACATCTACACCTACACCTACACCTACACCTACATCTACATCTACATCTACATCTACATCTACATCTTCTTCTCCATCTACAAATACAATTACAAATACATATACATATACATATACATATACATATACATATACATATACATATACATATACATATACATATACATATACATATACATATACATATACATATACATATACATATACATGTATACAGAGGTACATAACCTTTACCACAACAAGCAAATCAGACTTCAGCAAAGCTGCTTTTACTTCTTCGCGGGGATGTGCAGGAGTGACGTGGGCGAAGCTGTCTGGAGCTTGTCTCGAGCCCAGGCGCCGCATTTCAGAGATTTGTGGGCCGACTTTGGGCCTTCGACATTCTGGGGGTCTTGCGGGCTGCAAGGCTTGTGGGTTTTCAAATCTTACCTGAACCCCCAACCACCCTCGAATACATCCAAAATACCAACTATTAAGCGCCATAAGGGCTCTATTGAAGGGCCCTGGGGGGGGTCCTGGCAAGCCCCTAAACCATAAACTCTAAACCCCTAAACTCAGGGTGTCTGAGGCTTTAGCTTTGCCGAAGAACTGCCTCGATGACTTGGGGCTTGCTAGGGTCTTTAGCTTTAGGGCTTAGGGCTTGGGGTTTAGGGTTTATGCGGGAACTAGCGTGTTGGAGCTGAGCGTTTTGCGTTTTTGAGGGGGGGACTACGCTGGCTAGACCCTGAAGCCTCAAGGCTGACCCAGACGAACAGATGCCAATAGCTTGAAAAGGTCATTCCTGAAAGGGTTTGCTGATGTTCTTGCTTAAGTCAGGGTTTGGGTTTTGGGATGAAGCCTTCGGGTGTTGGTTCAGACTTGCTGCTTTGTCGCTAGACAGCTTTCGAGTTCAAGGGCCAGGACTTCGGATCTACGATTTATGGCTCACCGAACCCCCGCCCTAAATCCCTTATACACCCCTAAACCCTCCACGGAAAATGCAACTCTCTGGGTCAATAACCGAAACCCACAACTCAAGTTCTCCAAACCATAAGCCCCCTGAACGCCGAGACCTCGAAACCCTTGACCCTGAAACCCTGAAATCGCCTAAAAACGCTCTGAAACCGATCAAAATCGACTACAGCCCCCCACACCCTAAACCCTAACCTCACAGGACCTCACACCCCGAATGCAAAAGACTCTCTGGCCTTCTCCCCACAGTGGCACTTCGCCTCCGGATGGGAGCAGGTCTCCTGGGACGGCTTACTTGAAGGAAGATCCTTCTTGGAGGGTCGGGGGACTTAGTAAGTAGGTAGTAGGTAGACTTATAAGTACCCTAAAAGGGGCCCTAATTGGGGTTATGGTGCTTATAAGTCCCTAAAGTAACCAGTTACTAAGTCCCCCGACCGTCCAAGTTGGACCATTATAATACAGAACAGGATATCGATATCCTGCTCAGTATTGGAAAAATGGACGCCGACTGTTATTACACCTGTACTCTTCGACAATCGTGGGACGTAGCCACAGGCCCCAAAGTAGTTCCTCTTTGGGGTTCAGATATAGAGTCCTATAACGTTATCCCAAAAGGAACTACTATGGATCCGCCAAGTCGGGCCTGGGCTTTGAGGTTTTGGGGGCTTACGGGGTTTCAGGGCTGCTTGGCTCAAAGCTGCTTGTTCATCACCTTTGTCTTAGGGCTTTGAGCTTTGGGCTTAGGGTTTAGAAGGTTTGGACCGATTAGGGATCGAAGGTTTAGGGTTTGGGGTTGCGGAGTCGGGAGTTTGAAGTTCGAGGGCTTCGGAATGTCTGAGCTTCCGCGGGCTTACCCTGCAGGGTTTCTGCATATGTTTGCACAGAGCTATCTTTTACAATGATGTGTAGGGGCACCCGTAGTAATGATCTGAGGCTCTCGGCGGTGTGCAAATAGCTGATGGCTTAGGGTTCATGGTTTCAGGCTCACGGCTTAGGGTTGAGGGTTTCAGACTGTGGGGTGCAAGGAGTAGGGTTTGGCGTCTTAGGGTTTCGGGTATAGCAACTACTTTCAGGTGCTGCAGGTTCGGAGAACCCGGCTTTCGAAATTGAAGGAGATGTGACCTCTCTGGATACGTTCGCCCCTACAGAGACAAGCATAACCCCAAATCCTAAACCCCTAAACCCTAACCCAGCAAGCATGTAAATGTACGGTTGGGTAGTTGACAGCGCGAAGCGATTTCCATCAAACCGACTGAGATCACACAGACCCGCGCTGGATACCGTTGCTGGGCTCGCGGAGTTTAGGGTTTCGGGATCAGGGTTTGTTGTCGGAATTAATGGGCCGTGTGATGAGGTTCTGTTTACATGAGGGAGATGATTCTCAATTGGCTTACTCCGATCATGTCCTTGGGCCTTTGGGTCCCCAGCAACCCAGCTAGCCCGATCTATCGCGTTGTCGTCGTAATCTAAGGAGTAGTCTGTAACTCAGCAGCATTGAAAGTCGCCAGAAACCCCTTGCCTTTGTTCCGGTGCTTTGTTTAGGACTTGTGGCAACTTACAAATGAATTACGAGGCCAGGCCCTAGAAAAGTGCACAACGCAGAAGCATCAGATCCTTGAAATTGCCACATCGTATCAACCCTAACCCTGACTTCCGTAATTTCTAGACCCGAAAACGTCAGCAACGCTAAACTCTTACACTCTAACCCCAGTTAAATCTTACACCCTAACCCCAGTTACCCCAGTTAAATCCTTATAGAACTCTTCAAACCCTAAAAAAGAACATTAAAAAAAGAGTGAAACCTTAATGCGAACCCATCAAAGCCTCTCGGCTTAGTTCCGGGCGTCGTGGCTATGAGCTGATGAGGTTTCCTTTGCCTGCTGCGCGAGGATGCGTGCATAAATATATATATATATATATACACTAAAGGCTACAGGAAGAATGCTCATACTAGTAACGAACTGCGAAAATAGGAATAATAACAAGAATAATCACATAATCTATATAACGTATGTACATAATTATGCTTCTCTTTATATGTATGTATATACACATACATACATGCACAAGGAACTAGGTCCCAAAAGACCATCCCCAATTCCAGAACCCTCTTGGATAGGGTTCGGTTCTAAGGGTGGGACGGAAGGGTGCAGAGTCAGGAGGTTTAGGGTTTTTTTTAAGACTGAGGGTTAAGAGGTTAAGTAAGGGTTTGGAGGTGGAGCATAGAGTTTTTCAATATAAGGGATTGAGGGAGGATTGAGAGAGTTAGGGTTCAGGTGTTAGGGTTTCGGATGTCATTGGGGTGTAGGGTTGAAGCCGCAGGGTTCTCAGGCTCAGGGTGTAGTGTAGGATGTATTC